TCATACTAAAGAAACTCTCATTTTTCTCGCCCTAATTCTTGTTTCCCTTTTCTCAACCAAACAAAGGATTATATTGTTGAAATAATAAACATGTGGACGAATCTAAGGTGTGATCATTGTGTCAAAGAATTTTTTTTTGTCTATAAGCAGAAACTTCATTTAAAAAAATAAGTCTCGCAAAGCTTAAACATAAAAAGCCTAAAAATAAAAAGGAAAATAAAACCAAAGGCAAGCAAAATAAAATTAAGAATAATAATAAAAAAAACTAGCAAAAAAACTAAACATTTTCACATTTTAAAACCGTTCCCACACTATGAGCTCTAAGCACATATGGTGAAATTTTCTTCTCCTGATTGATGTTCACTTTTTTTTTCCCCTTCAAAATATCAAGATTTACAAAATTTCTAAGAGCCCAAAGCAACTATTTATGTCTCTTTCTGATTCAATATTTAATTGTTCTTTTAGGCTTTGATTTTCTGAAAATTCGTCCACTAGATCGGTCCAAGATTGTCTATTCATTCTCTTAGCAACATGCGATCGATCAAATTGTAATGAAATTGAAAGGAGAATTGGAATTAACCTTCAAATTGATTCTATAAAAACTCTCAGCATGCACCGAAAAAGCGATGGATCGAAGAAGTAACAAAACGAATTGAGAATATCAAATAACACTTTTCATAGCTTATCTCAGTATATATACATATGTATTTATAATATAAAATTAGTGTATCTCTATGTTTATAATTCGAAATCGTTTCTGCATGATGTTATCGATTCTTGTTTAGCGTTTTGTACTGCAGAAATTGGTGTCATCAAATAAAATTTGTAATTAAAAATCGTTAAAATAAAGGTTAAATAGCGAATAAGACCTAGTTTTTATATATAAGTCTACTTTAATCATCTCACCTGCATATATGATTGGCTGATTCGTACTCATTTGCATTGGATATGGTCCATGGGTTGATCATCAAATTATTGAACAAAACTTGAATCATTTCCATTAAGGTTTCATAGATACTAATAAAATGGCATCATAATGATTGATTTTCTATTTGGTTCACCATTTTCCCTTTTGAAGGGGTACAAAATCATTGTTAAACTTTTCAAAGTTGGACAATTTCTTTCTTTAAAAGAACCAAAAAAAAAAAAAGTTGTAAAATTGCAGAGGCCTAAGATTAAAAAATAGGAGGTTTCATAGTCCTAAACAAAGAGTAGAGGAAACGAGGAGGAAGAAAAATAAATTCAAAAATGAAAATGGGGATACAAGAATTTTGAAGTACTTAGAATATTTGACATAAGAAAAGGTGAGTGAATTAAGTGACTTCTCATTTTGTGGAGATATAAGTGACTTTTTATTTATATAAAATGGCACTCAAGAATCATATAATCATAACATATATATCAATATGTATAGAGAATATGATGTGAGGGAGTTAGTTTATAAGAAGCTGGTAATATTCCAAGACCCAAGTTCCAGCTATGAATATTGAACATACTTGTAAAAAAAAAAAAAAAAAAAAAAAAACTTGTAAATTAATTCTTGAATAAGAAACTAACAAAAACAACTAAAAAAAACCAATTTTTTCTTTCCATATTCTTTTCTTGTTTATATGTTTTTCATTGAGAGTGCTAAATACATACTCTATTTCAAATATAGAGCAACCATCTAGGAGACCCGACTAAGCAAAGCTGGGTCGAGTAAGATAGTCGGACCACCATGCGTAACCGCGCGTGGGTGTTGAGTCAGCAAAGACATCAACCTATGTTATTTAACTTATTTACGTATTAAATGGGTTAAAAAATGAATAAAAATACAGGTATAAAAAGAAAGTGTTTACAGACTTAAAAAAGATATGGATGACAGTCTTGTAAATATGATTAGAAAAGGTGACTTATTATTAAGTGTGTTGATTTAAAAAAGCTAAAGTGAAAGTGACGAATAAAAGTATTAACATCTGAAATAGAGTCTGTAATAGAATTTGTATTTGAGCATTCTCCTTTTTTTGTTTTTCGGTTTGAGATGCCGTTAGGATGGTGATCAAGACAAGTCATTGGTCTAATAACTGTGGACACGCAGTGCGCACAGTCACATTAATGGTACTACTTCCAAAATGCTGATGATGATGAGCCCAAGAAGAAGAGAGAAAAAAGCTTATCCTACTCACTGAAATACTGGATTTAAGGTGAATGAATGAGGGAAAAAAAAGTTAAAAGAAAAACCTTTTTTTTTTTTTTTTTTTTTTTTTCTGGTAGTGAGTGCATGTGTGTGATGGCAACCGAAGAAGAAGCTTTTATATTTACCTCTTACATATGCTGTGTGCAACTGTGACAAATAGTATTAGAATATTATATCTAGGCAATCGTATTTATGGATAATGACCATTCCATCTTGTGGGGCCTTTTCATCTTTAATGGAGCACAATTTCTTGCTATATATACACTCCCTACAAAAATATCTATGGGACTATAAAATTCGGAAGGACAAATTAAGCCACAATCTTATCAAAATAAGATACCCAACATTATTTACAACTTGTGAACTAAAAATTCATTATAGTCTTATGAAATTATATCTTTTATTTATGAACTTTGAACATATAATCAAAGAATTTAATCATACTATTGGAACCTTAGTGTGATGCGTACCCTTGAATGCAGTGATGAATAATTGTCACAAGAAAGAAATAGCAACTTGACGGTTGACAAGACCAACGTGATTGCCGCACTCTTCGAGACACCTCTTATGACGAGGCATCATCATGGCGGTCTGTCTAAAAACTTAACGGCCAAGCTTAATAAAGAAGAAAAACCATGTCATCAGTTCGACCTATAAAAAGCTTGGAACGCCTCTATCAGACCCTCCAAAGCTGGGGAGCAATTATTACGCCATGGTCGAAGCTTCACGAAGACACGACGTCTTTAGAAGTCAAAGTTACACACTCAACTTCATGAGACATGCTCACGGCAACGAATCAGTATTTTCAAGATGAATTCAATAATCTCCAAAAGATCCAGAGGATTGTGGATGAGAAAATCAAGTCAAAATAATTAGATAACTTTATGTCCCGTTCATTTCACCGATTCGAGTTTTGTTACAGTAAAAAGCTCTTAGAAACAGTCACATCTAATCTTTTTACTACAGTAAAAAATTCTCACGTAAAGTCACATATCAACTCGAATCAACGAACTAAACGGGTCCTTAATAACAAAAATATGCTCAAAGGTATATGAGAAAGTAAACGTGTTAATGGGATTCATAATAACTTGGATTCTGAATCCAATAGCCTACGTAAATAACACATTTTTACTCCAGGTTCTCATTTCAAAACATGCCACTCTGAATCTTACGAACTCCGGTTCATACCTAATTCACTTACACATTAGCAACACACCGTGTATATTAGCTCATATTGATCGGGCTAATTAGCCCTATCGATATGAAAGATGGAATTTAATTGCTTAAGCCATATATGTGAGGATTGATGAAAAGAATTGAACATGAGAGGGCTTCGCTCGATAGGTGCATATATGCTCCATGGTGCGAGGTTGCTTGATTATTGGAAGACAAATTCTTACCCAATAAGGATTAGTTTTAAAAAAAAAATCTATCTAATCAAATAAAATGCAGTACTATAATTTTTCTACTCACATAAAATCTACTCCTGATTATATACTCATTCTATTATAAGAAATGTAATAAAATATCGCGATTATTGGGAATACATTCACTCTCAATTATAAATGGGTCTTGTGTTTTTTCAATACTCTCACTAATTAAGAATTTAAAAACTATATGTGAACTTTATAGTTATAGCAGAGATTCCTCTCTCTTGCTTTAATTTGACTTTTGTAGAAGTGTTAGAACTTAAAAGGGATGTTAGCATGTCATTACGATATTAATTGGACAAATAATTATTCCCCACATTCTTAGCCTCACACGAGGAAAACATCATAACAATTATAGATTTCACATACTTAAGTATCATGCTACATTTTCAGTTACTCGTAGTCTTGTCCTCACTTCAAATACAATATACAGTCATTTTTTATGCTGATCATTACAATATAATAGAATAGATGTCACATCATTTAGTTTGTAAATAAATAAACAAATTTTACTACGACAACAATACTAGTGGGTTTGTGCACTAGAGAAATGTCAGCACCCAATATTCTTTCTGTCACTCTCTGCATTCACTATCTGACACGTGAACTCTTTTTCATATATTGTTAATATTTTCTCAGAGGATCCTAACTAACATCGACATTCTTCTTCTAAACCACTCGGGCAAGAAAATTAGTGTTTCTCTCTCTCTATCGCTTTTTTTTTTTTTTTAATAATCTCTCTCTATCATGTTAGTCACAATATTGTCTAACTAGTGGTGTTTATTCATTTTGGCAGCTATTTTTTTAAAATTATTTTATACCTTAAAGTCTGAGCTTACAGTGCTCCTTCAGCCTTTAGAAGAAATATTAAAAAAGGAAAACCTTCCACATTTTTATGAGGATATACAACAGAAACATACAATTATTATTCTATTTTATTCTCCCATGCGTTGTGGAATCCCCATCCTCTTATGACCAGAAAGATACAGAAAGACAAATACAAAACTAGCCTCTCTGTCTTTCTCATATAATATATAAATATGAATTATTAACAAACACTTTGATCCCACTAATAATTAAAAGAAAGACCCATTTGTGTTTGATAAGTGACTTTCAGAATTCTCCATCTTATTTAACACACACTCGTTGATATCTGGCCCCACCTAGAAATAATATTTCGGTGCAAATTCACACCAAATTCAAATGCATCATCTTATTATGTTTATTTTCTTTTTTCAAAGACCAATAAACAAAAATTAATTTACAAGAGTTCAAAAGATAAGAATAAATGTTATTGACATTGCGTATTTTGAATATTATGATTTATCATTTTAAACAAATATAAAAATAACTTACACACGCAATATAATTATTTAAATATCTTTTCACTCCCCACCATAGAATCCCCCAATATTACTGAAAGAGTTTGATACCTAAATTTGATTACACATTTATCCTCTTCAAAATATGCCTTTACCATCATGTCTTGGGACAGTTTCCGGTAATAGTGACACATTTTACGTCAAACTCTCTCTCTCTCTCCCCTACTCTGATCCAAAAGAAGCTTCGTTATCTTGTCTCACTCAACCATGTCCATTGAAGACTGTACGTTGGAAACTATCCCGTAACTGCCATCTCCAGTACCTTCGCGATGATTATCATGATCATCATGATCTTGATCTTCCACCTCAGTGCTACTGCTAGTGTCTCTATCTACTTCTTCCTCTTGATCATATTCTTCTTCTTGAAGAGGCCATTGTCTCTCCGGTTGGACCATCAATGGCTCCATGCCGAAATGCGGCGGCGGCTGCTGCGGATGTGGTGCGCCGTTTTCTTGAGCTTTCGGATCAATGTTCTTCAATTTTTCTCTGTATATTGCGTCGAGTTGGTGAAAATATGGACAGGTTTTTGAATCATCCGACCTCTTCTTGTCGCTGTCCTTCACCTTCTTGAAATACTTATTGATGTTCTCCCACTTCTCCTTGCACCTCTTCGAGCTCCGGTCATACCCTAGCCGCCGCATCCCCGCCGATATATCCTCCCAAAGCGGCCCTTTCGGCACGTTCTCTTCGTACTTCAGATCAAGATTTGTCCTCAAATTTATCAATGCCTCAACCTCGGCTTTCGGCCACCGAGAACTCCAACTACTCGAGGAAGTAGTGCTCAAACTCCTAACATGCGGTGGCGCTGCCGTTGCGGCCTGCTTTGCAGCAGGCTGCGGTGCTGGCAGTGATATCGTATGATTATTTGTGTTGTTGTTGTGGTGGTTGTTATTGATGCTGTTGTTGAGAACTGAGAGTGCGACATTGTCGGTGCTTATTATCTGCAAATTTTGTGTGACGCCAGAGACTTTTTGCAAGAACGCAATGAGAGCAGCGTCTTTGGCCGTAGCGGCGGACCGCTCCTGGAGAAGAATCTCGTGCTCGCGGTTGATCCTCGCCATCTCCTGAAGCCGCCAAGCCTCTTCGCGGGCAGTTCTCTCATGCTCGCATTTAGCAACGGTTTCCAGGAACCTCTTATGCATCTCCTCCTGCTTCCTTACGACCTCCCTCGTCAGCCTCCGGAAGAAGTCCCTCCACTTCCTCTTCCGCTTGTGCCGCGCCTGAAACTCCTCGTCGGATGCCGTCGACGATGAGGTGGGGCTCGAGAAAAGGAGGCCATTAATGTTGTTGTTGTGGTTTGTGATCATGGATTTTGTGATTATTGTTTGTGGTGAAGGCAAAGAATTACTTGTTGTTGATGTTGGTGGTGGCGGCGGCGGCGGCAAAGTAATACTGATATTATTACTTGTAGGGTTTGGATTGACAAAGATATTGTGGGAGACATTAGTACTTATTGGAGGGTTTGTTATGGCTTGATGGGGCACTTTTGCTGCTGCTTGTAGTGGTGGTGGTGGAGGATGGTGGTTTTGATCGAAAGCTTCTAACTGATCGAAAAACCGATAGGTTTTACCGTCGGATTTTCCGGTCCTGCCGTCTTTGGTCCTCCTGTGGTACTTGTAGACGTTCTCAAACTTCTCTTTGCACTTCTTGCCGCTTCTTTTGTAACCAAGCTCCGCTAGCTTCCTGAAGGTTTAATGTTACATGACAATATGGTAAAAGAAGCTCATGAAAAAATCAATAATATTTTTAAATTATTGTTTGTTTAATCTTCACCACATAAAATATGGAATTATATAAAAGCATAAATATATCTAAATATTTAACATCACAATAATTGGAACAACAGGAAGTGGCAAGGCAAAGCTATAACAAAAATTATGATCTGATCAAAAAGATGGGAAATGTATAATTAAGAGAATTCAACAACAGATCATTACCTAATAATTCTTTTTAAATTCTTTTCCTAGCTCATTTAATTCCCATCTGGGGAACATTTCATTCCTTTCTATTTACTCTCTTCCTTATAATGTACTGAAATTTTCCCTTGATATAAGAAACCATGCAAAACTCATATGTTGCTAACAACTTTGGAAAAAATATAAATAAAAAGTGAATGGAATCGTTTTACAATTTTCAAGTCTAATAGAATATAAAATAAAAAATCTTGGTTGCTATAAACTTGGAAAATCAAAAAGAAAAACTTGAATAGATTAATTGGCTTAAGAATTCAAGTATATATAAAGAAACGAAAGAAACCCGGATTACGAAATTAATAAATCTGAAAATGAACCCCACAAGAAATTAGAAGGATTATATTATGTTCATATAGTTTTAGTTCACATATCCAACCGAATTAAAAATCCCTTTAAATCAAATGAGAAAAAAATTTGAACAAGCTAAATAAGAATTAAAGGAAAAAAGATGAAAGAGCATGTTGTTTACCACGGAAGATTTCCATAAACCTAATTAAAGGAGAATTAATTTCCTCTCCCAAAACAGAAAATTGAATAGAAAATAATAATAATAAATTACCTAGAAACCTCCTCCCACAATGGAGCTTTGAGACTTGAATCACGAAAAGTGGCATCCATATCAGAGCGTATCTTCAAGAGCGCCAAGGTTTCCTGTCGCGGCCACCGGTTTCTGCCAAAATTGTCACTCCGGTCACCGCCGTCTTCAACATTTCTGTCTTCCTTGTCGTCTTCTTCGGCCGAATTATTCACTAAAAAGGCCGATCCTGCGCCGTTACCGTCGCCGTCGCCGTTTTCTTCATGTCGAAGTAGTACTTCCTCATGACGATCCTCCTCTGCCGCAGCGGCGGCGGCAGCCTCACCGGAGCTTCCGAAGGCGGAGCCGGTGGCAGTAGTACTTGCGTCTCCCATGGCCGAGATACCTTAAGTCTATACGTAGCTAGCTAGATCTCCTTCCCTGTAGCAATTACAGCTGAAGAAAAGGAAAAGGAAAGGAAAAAATTATATATATGCATTAGTCACAAGGGAAGAAAAGTTAATATTTCTGTTGGGTTTTATGTAGGTGGAACGTGATGGTGATTGTTTATATTTTATTTCTTTACGTGGGTTTTGCTGTTATTTAAAAAAAAAAACGTAAAATTTTTTAATTCACATAATAAGAGCGATTTTAGGGTACCCCAAAAGCTACAGAATCTTCAGTTTTTTCTTTTTTTGTTGAATAAACAAGTATTTTTTTTTTTTTTTTTTGTGTAATGGTGCAATGCTGCAATACAATACAATATATCTCCATATGTGTTGAATAAAACCATGAATAAATGTACAACAGTTCGGTACCAACAATTATGAGAGGGAAAACAAAACCGTAAAACTGGAATTAATTATTGTACGAGAAATATTATACATCTATATACTAATTATTGGTATTTTTTTTCCTATTACATATGAAGAAATTGAAATAAAATTAATCGAATATTAGTGGGAACAGCTATGGATAACGACGAGATGGGGATAAAACGAGTTGGCCCATTTGTAGGTCAGCTTTGCTATTGGGAGCGTTTTGGTTTTGGATTTCAGTGGTAGTTGCCTACACATTCCTTACAGAAATGACCATTCTACTCTCCCATTACGCCTTATTGACCTAAATAATTATGCATTACCTTTTTTCTTAATGCCATTTAAAAAATGATGAATTATGTATTTGTTTATATATGTATTCGTGTATGTATACAAGTATACACTCGTATATACACGCATTAATTATATATATATTCAATAGTTCTCAACGGTTTGATGAGAGTGGATCTCACAATAGTGCAGCCACGTGGAGAGAGGGAATAAAGATGTTGACGTAGTTATACCTGTATAATTTTGGTTTGTAAGTCGTCTATATGAGAGGAATTTAAAAAATTGATTTATAACTAATTAAACTTATCTTATAGAAGATAATATCATTGTATATATTGTTGATGAAAACATGTTTAGATAAAGGTCATTCTAATTAGACAACGCCATTTATTGAAAGGAAGTAAATAGTGACCAATTCAGTTAGGTTGCAACCTACCATAATAAATGGTGTTTGGAAAATTTTTGAGGGCTGAGATGTTACACACAATAATTTTCATCATGATTTGCAAATTATTTGAAAGTTTTTGGGACCATATATTAAATAATTAGAGAGGTTATGGTAGCTTTATCATGAGTTGTTAAATGTTATATATGCACTATATATACGATATATGATCTGTCAAGAACATGCCCCCCTTTTGCTTTTTGGCTATGTAAATCTTGCTGAGCATGCAAGTACAACGTGCCATTGCTCTAGTACTCAGTTTTCATATTTAAGACAATGATTATTAAGCCACTTGGTGGGTTGAAATGACTTGCTCTCTAGATAGTGAAATACACACACACACACACACACACATATATATATATATATATATACGAATTTAATTTCACTTGGGAAATTAAATTTTTACTTTGAATCAATACAGAGTATCCAATGTTATTAGTACACAAGAAATTTGTTCCTCGACAATCGTGAAAAATTATCTTGTATATATGTCATGGCAATATGTATAGCAAGATGTACTTGGAAGAATATTTATTGTCACAATTGTTTGGTAATTTTCATTATACATACATATATAGACGAAATGCCTACTATTCTGGATTACCCTTTTATAACCCTTTTAGGGGCGTGACACTCCGGGTTACTAGAATTCAAAGGAAGTGAGAATACATATAAATATATATATATATATATATATGTGTGTATATATTTGTTGAAATTTTGTGTATTCGAACTAAAACTTCCAATAACTTGGATGGCCCCACAACGTGCTTTCAGTATGGTGCACTTATTAGGATGAAGTTATATTTTGTATGGTTGTAAAAGCTTCTTAGCTTCAGCCCTGGAGTACTTCAATTTGGACAAGAATATCAATTCTGGTACACAAAAATAAACCATAGAATATTATTTAACCACCACACAAAAAAAAAAAAAAAAAAGAGAGAGAGAGAGAGAGAGAGAGAAGAAACTAAGATAATAATCTTGCTAAGTAGTTAGTGTATACATAATATTTTGCTCCATCAACTCAAAGATCAATTATTGGAGTGGAAAAACAAATGAACTAATAATGGGGGCAACATATGATGCGAAGAAAGTGGGGCCAATTAGTCACCGAACCAATCAATTGGATTATTAAATGTTTTAATTAAATCATTGTAAATGATAGATTAAACCCCTTTTCTCTTTTCTCACTTTTCTTCTTTCCACTTCTTTTGCAGCCAGAGATTATCTTATTTGTATTGTACGAATTAAATATTCAATCTTCAGCTGGAAATTCATTTACAATACTAATGACATGGGTTATGGGTATCACATGTAAAGGTGTTTTCATCAAGCAAAAGATCTAAATATCATTTAAATTATAATAGCAATATATATAGTTGGTAAAACCCTAATTAATTAGTTGGTAAAACGTCAAAGGTGGAAACAGATAAAGACACATATATATGAAATTAAAAAAAATAAAATGCAGTATATTACATGTGGTTTTTTTAAGGGCAAATATATATATATATATATATATATGGTCTTACTCTTTCTAAACAAAAAGAGCTTTGAGAAATATTTTCTACATGCATATGATAATATTACGGGGAGCCTACCTACTTTGTTCATCAAAATCTCTCTCTCTCTCTATATATATACACACACACATACATAAATATTTTTGGAGCCACGAAATTTCAAATATTAAGAGCGTTTTTACTACGAAAATTTGAATGGCTCAAGAAAAATTACATGTACAATCAAGTGGTACCTCTTGCATTATCTAGATTTATAATTATTTTATTCTGTATAACGGAAAATAGAGGGAGCGTAACTGGTGAATGATGAGAAGTGGGTATTATTTTAGGTTTGTATTTTCCTTGACTTTTTTTTTTAATTTATTAAAAAAAGGAATTATGATATTATCAGAATAAGACTGTAGTGGGTATTTTGCTTGACTTGCAAACAAAACAATACAAATAATTTACTGGGATTGTTTTATGTGTTTGTGCTTTGCTGGCACACAATTCTCTAATCTCTTACCATAGCTGGAAACAGTGCCTTGCCACCTTATATGTCACCCTTTCAGGGATAAATATTGAACTTAAATAAATTAATAAATAAAAAGTAAAAGTGTTTGATGTTTTCTCTCTCTAATCAAAGAGGGAAGTGTCTTCAGCACCAAGCAGCATGTAATTTATGGGGTATTTTTTTTATGTATCCGTTCTTAATTTTAAATTATCGTTTATGATTCTTTACGGTGTTTTTTCTCACAAAAATTTTAAATTTTAAAAAACAGAATCATGAATCATGATTCTGAATCTATGAACCAAAGGTTACCTTAATGTTTTAAAGTTCTTTTTTAAGGAATTAAAAAAGAAGAGACTAATGCAAAAAAAAAAAAAAATGGAGGAAAAAGAAAGTTCCATGCGTACCCTATGAAAAGAGATCTTGTGTTCACATTAAAAAAAAATGATAACTGAACGAATTATTAAAAAATAATAATAAAAAAAGAAAGAACTTCCTCCAACTATCAAATAAAATACAATTAACTATAATTATTAACGCTTCTCAAGCTTAATTTATGATGCTGTAGTACTGTTTATTTGTTATATAAATTAATGAACTGTCCAAGAAGTTACATGATCATACCCAAGTTTGATTCTTAACAATGAGTTTGAAATTTGATAATATCAGCCAATTTTGAATAATAAATAAAAATGTAAATAACGAATTATACCAGTTGCGGGCATAATCTTGACGTAAATCCACACTCATATTTTTATTGTTGATCAGGTTTAGAATTCGAATCTTCCTAACTAGTTAAAAATATATAAATACTAAATTACTCATAAAATGCTATGCGTTTATATATATGTAGCTAATTATAATTAAGAAAACTACCCGTTTGGCCTGCTGGGACTTTTAGGGCAAAAGAACATGGCAGAAAGAGCAAAGTAAAATGGAATAAAAGAGGAACCTTGCAAAGTTTTAAAAAAAAATGTTGGAAGATGGTATATATGCAACAATATTTGTATACAATGAGCTGTAAACTTTAGTTTCAAAAGGAAACAGCTAGGCTAAGCTAATGTGTTAGAAATGGCAAAGAAGTTTGGTATTCTACTTGTTTTTGGTGAGACAACAAGGAGGATTTGTAGGTTGGCAAGCATATACAGTTCTAGTGTACTGCTTTTATATATATATATATATATATATATATATATGGGTGTAGAAATATACATACATATATATATATATACGTATATAAACGTGTATATATAAATATACATATATTCTCAAGGTTATTGATGACGTGGCATACGTGACAGTTCAAGTTTTCACTGATGGCCCACTTAAAGGGATGTTATGTGGACACTGAAAGGTTTTGCATAACATGGAGAGCATGTGAGGCTGCACTTCCATCTCATATATTGTCAATCCATGTGGGTTTTAAAACCATATGTTTTGGTTTCTCCTTTAACTTTATTCTTTATATATTAAACCAAAAACGAATTATGTTCTTTTTCTTTGTTTTTCCCTGAAAATAAAAGCTAACAAGAGGGTTCTTTTTTTCTTTTTTTTTAAAGCAATTTAAAGTCTATATTTTAAAGTTTTGTTAGGAGTCTTAGGTCTCGTTCACTTCGTTGATTCGAGTTTAGAATTCGAGTTTTTCTACAGTAAAAAGCTCTCACAAACAATCACATCTAACTTTTTTGCTACAGTAAAAAGCTCTCACATAAAATCACATCTCAACTCAAATTCTAAACTCGAATCAGCGAAGTGAACGGACCCACAAAAAGGAAGAACACTTATTATGGCAATTATATTGATGATCATCATGAGAGACGTTGGCCGTTGGCATACATACCAGACATTCTTTTTTCAGGAGCCCACAAAAAGGAAGAATTTATGGCAATTATATTTCATGGCCTTCTGATGTAAAGATGGGAATGTGATAAAAGATTTTTAAAAACCATTATATTTGTTTTATTGGTGATAAAGTAACGATGCCTATTTCTACCGTAACATGTTTGGAAGAGAAGTTATGCCCATGTTTGGTTCGCTAGTTCGAATTTTGTCAATTTAAACTTTTTTATTTGAATAGAAAAATTCAAACTGTGCAATTTAAATTGTAGTTTAGATTAGCGTTTAAATG